TCCCAGCCCCCAGCATCAGCCACTGCAACTCTCAGTCTGGGAACAGGGGGACCTCACTCATCATGGTCAGCCACTCCTTCCCATCTGGGGACAGCAGCCCTCACTTACCATGGGCAGCAGACAGCCTTGCACATGCTCTACCCACAGCAGAGTCCAAAGCAAAGTGCTCACAAGCCAACTTCTGACTTACTCAGGATAGGAGCTGAGCCAGAACCCTGGCTCACCGAAGAACCCACCCATTGGATTGACAGGTCTGCCAGAGTCCCTGATTGGCTAATGAATTCTGAATGTCAGGTCCTTGTGAGCTCAAAGGACAAGGCACAGTGATTCAAAGTCATGTCTTCCATGTGAAGAACAGACTTATCCCAGATTGGTTGGAGATTTGTACCAAATTCAATAGCAAGTCCCTTTCTAATGTAAATAAATAGATTTGGTTTAAAAAGTATACAAATGCAGAAGGAGGCTATTCAGAGAGCGTTGCACAAGAGGAAAACAGGGTAAGTAAATAACATTATAAACGAAGTTCACAGTGGCCTTGGGACTGATAACCACAGCTCCATCTGTGAAAGCTGCTGTGTTCTCAGGATCTGAAACAACCACTCCCCAAAGGGTCTGACCACAGAATTTACCAGGTCTCCCAAGCATATTCCTGGATTTAGGGGGTCTGTTTCTTCTCAATACATCATGGCCTTAGAGAAACCTCCCAATTTCTAGGAACATTGCAAAACTCAAGAGAGGCCTAGTTTCTAAAGTATATTCTAAAAGTTATGCACTTCACATTTGACATTTAGGTGTAAGATCCTTTTGGAGTTAATTTGTGGAGGTTGTAAATGGCATCGCTTTTGTTGGTTAACACTCCACTATTAAGCTGTGATGGAGAAGAATAGAATTGGTGATATAAAGGATTTACCAGTGCTTAGGATATAAAGGATTTACCAATGCTAAGTCACTGAACAGTTAGCAAAAGAATAAGAGAATTGGTAACAACCCAAGTGATTACAGTACACAGACATTAGATGTAAGTCTACATGAGATGTTATTTAGAAAACCAGTCTCAGCCAGAAGGTGGTGGTGAATGCCTTTAATCCCAGCACTTGGGAGGCAGAGGCAAGTGGATCTCTAAGTTCAAAGTCAGCCTGGTCTACAGATGAGCTCTAAGGCTACACAGAGAAACCCTGCCTTGAAATACAAAAAGACACACACACACACACACACACACACACACACACACACA